CGCAAAATTAGCCTCTCTATATATGTGTTGGATATTAACACTCCAATCTCTTTGAATTAACTCTCTGATAGCTCGAACCAGTGCAGCATGGGGCCCCAAATCAGCCTCCGAATCGCACACCATATTATTCACGCATAGGCTATCTACTTCAGCCATAACTTGCCGATATCCCATCTCTCAAGCCAACAAAAGACCTTGAAACATACCCCACAGCTCGGCGCCTGTAATAGTGGAGAAGCCAATTTTGAAAAGAAAGCCCGCAAGCCATCGTCCATTCTCATCACGGATTAATCCCCCCGCACAGTTCGGGCCCGTGGGATTGGAAGTGGCACCGTCCGAATTGACTTTAACCCAACCCGCCGGTGGAGGAGTCCACCGAATCATCCAAGTAACATGAACAGCCGCTCCCACCCGTACATAATCCGTTCTTGCTCGGGAATAGCTCTCCGTGAGCCGGAAAACCTCCAACCGGCAGACCTCGACCGCAAGGCATTCATTTGTAAACACTGCCGTCGGTCGACACAAGAATTTGTACTAAAAAACGAGCATTTTTTTGTTAATTTATTGCATAATAATCAAATGAATAGTCTCCACAATTTTTAAAAGAATAAGCCAGTAACACAATCATCCTAATTATAACTCATAACTCGAAATCAATAAGAAAAACTAATCCAATAATTAATCCCGCCATGCCTCAATTTGTTATAATCCTGTCTAAGTTTACGGTCCGTCGCGGCAGGCGGCCCTCGCGGCGTGAAAGCGACGTGTGTGTTCCGGCGTTAAGGACCTACGGGTATGACGCCGCACGAGCCCCTAGTCTTTGTCCAGTCGTCGTGAAGGTCTCGTTGTGGGTCTCATGACATGACGGCTGGTTCGGCCTCCGTCTCTGTAGCTACGTGATGTACTTCGTGACGCGTCTCTTCCGCGATGGTTCACTGTCGCCGCGGCGTGAAGCCTGACACTTCTTCAATCTAGGTCTTGTTGGGACGAGCTCGTTGGGCATGGTTGTATGCATTCTTGAGAAAATGACCCTCGTCTGCATCATTCCCATTCCCTTTGAGTAAATCCTTGTCCTCAAGGATGAAATTCGGGAATTGATTTCTCATGTCATGAACATTTTCCCATGTTGTGTTTCGTAAATTATTGTTTTTCAACCAAACATAATATATAAATAATAAATAAAATTATTAACGTACTATATATGATTTTAATATAAAAACAACCTATTTTAATTTTTAATATAAAAAAAAAAACCTATTTTAATGCTTAGACTGAATAAACCAAGTAGATATGTTCAACTTCATCCAGTTTGTGACAAAAGTCCAGTCGGACCAATATACACAATACTGACTGACATTGCGCACCATAGGGTTATACGAATTGCACATTGACAACATACAACTTGCTCATTATATTTTGTTTACATATGTGTTATGTTTTTTAACCAAACATAATATATATTAATAAAAAAAAATTAAAATATTAATATGCTTTTTTAGAATTCAAATAATAATTTATTTTTTCCTATTCCGATTTAACCGTTATGCATGTTCAATTTTAGATTATATTGGGACAAGAGATCGGTAAGTTCATTTGTTCAAATTTCAACACGATTAGATCAACTTTGACATTTAAATCGGTTAGTTCGACAAGACCAACGAATGAATAATCTAAACGAAGCGACATTTGGATAAATTTGTGAAATTTTATATGTATCGGCATCGACAAATTTATGATTTTTTAAAAATATGCAGTTATTTTTAAAAGTACAATTTCTCACAGTGTAATGTGCAATTTATATATCATTATTGTGCATTTATTAAATTTTTTCTAAATATGGCGTTACTTTTTAAAGTGCGATTTCTCACAGGGTAATGTGCAATTTATATATCATTATTGTGCATTTATTAACATCTTGTTATATTAATTACTGACCAAGCACTATATTGAATATATTAAAATTATACAAATTGCAAAAAGGTACCTGAAATATATCAAATTCTCGCAACAAAACCCCACATCCAAAAAATGAACACCTCAATTACACGGCCGACATCCATTATAGTCGATCCCGTCGAATCCTATACGGACATAGCCGCCGCCGCCGTCCTGCGTGTCAATGTTCGGCTACAACCCGACGCCTCAGACCACAAAAAATATAAAAAAAATGATTCCACTTCACAGGTTGTCGTCCATTCACCGCCGACGTTATCCCACAGCCGCCATCGTCTGTCAATCGACATCCAGTCTTTACCGACCATCACCCACCCACACACACACACACTAGTTGTATGTCTCGTTCGATAGTCTGATTTGGCTCGTTGGCAGTGACGGCGTGGAGGAAGGTGTTGGGTTATGTCGGGGCACTCTGTGGCACATCCATCTCCGGTGACGGACTGCGGGAGGCTTGGCGACACAAATTGTGTCGGCAGACGGCGGCTGCTGGCTGGATTTCGTGACTGATGTCAACGACAAGTGAGGCGTTGACATGAATGGTGTCGGCAAAAACAGGCGGGGTGAGGTTGTGTCGACGAGAGGTGGTTGCATCCGTCTCCGGTGGTGGGCTGCGGAGGCGCGACGGCGGTTTGCAGAATCACGGTGGCGGAGCTCCGCCGCTGAGAAGACTGCGATCGGAGTTTTGAGTGTGTGTGTGTGCGCGCAGGTATGTGTGTCTGTTTGTGGGTGGGTGGGGGGTAGGTGATGACGGGCAAGGTAGATGATTAGATTTAATGGGAGATGTGGTGGGTCCCATTCGGTGTAATGTTAACTAGTCTCTAAATTACCCCGATTAGTGGTTAAATCAAAATATTTGATCACCTTATACTTATTTATTTACCATAATGCCATCAATAATTGATCAAACTTTGATTTTATCTTAATCATTGATATGATGTATCCAATGATTCAGGTTCATTTTTATTTCTTTCACTATCTATCACTCATATCATATGATCCCAACTCTCTCTCTCTCTCTCTCTCTCTCTCTCTATATATATATATATATATATGGACTGGTTCAAATAAAAACTAAGTCTGATGTGAGAACTGTGAAAATCATATTTGATGCTATTTTTAATTGTGTATGATGCTATTTTTAATATTGTATGGTGCAATCATTTTTACAAATGCTAATAAAAATTTTCTTGCTATTTTTAATAAAATATATCATAGTTAAAAATAACATTAAAACACAAGCAATCATAGCACTACATAAAATTAAAAATAGCAGTTCTCTCGGTTTTTACACTAGGACTTGGTTCTCATTTGAACCATTACTTGAAGAGGAAAATATGCCCCATGAATGTGGGATAAAAATAGTTCTAAGTTTCCAAGGATACAATTATGACATACAAATAAAAATGTAAATGTATAGGACTATGGAATTTGATATTGAATGAAATATGAACCTACTGAAGTGTACTAACAAATAAATGTGTCACACATGCAATGTCAAATTTAAGATATGGAAAATCATGAAGACAAATTAAGATATGGAAAATCATGAGACATACATAACACAAATGCTCTAAATACCAACAATCTTCACAGGTAATTGAATATATTTTGAGAACATATCCTTGCTACATTCTTTAAGACTACAAACATATCAGCAAACTGCCAGACTAGACATGCCTCAATTAAGACTTGGGAAGCAAAAAAAAAAAAAAAAAAAACTTATCTGTACCATCTTATTCCCCAATCCCCAACAGCTCAAGTCCTTCCACATCTCGTTCTCATTGCTTGTTGTTAGACTGTATATGTTTGTATACCTTAAAACAGTTTTTCTGCCAAAATCACACACACTGCCAATCCAAAAATCTCACCTATTTTCTTCTTTTCACGAAGCTTTCGCATTCCTCCCGTTTTTCCTGCTCACGGCTTCACAAACCCTGCAAGCCAATGTGTCCAGGCTGGCAGCCCTCGTCTCCCGATAATTACCCAAAACCCCACACCTTCTCCAAGCATGGTACTCAGCATACGCCACAGGGTCGTTCGCCAATGACTTAACATAAGAAGCCAATTCATCCAACGACCCAAACCGGGTCCCGTCTATGATCGAATGAGGCGGCACAAAATCCCACACGTTGGGGGCCCCGAAATAAATGGGAACGGCCCCCGAGTCAAGAGCGTAGAAGAGTTTCTCGGTCACGTAGCTCTCGGTCATTGTGTTCTCGATGGCGAGGACGAATTTGTAGTGGGACATGGCACAGTGGAGGTGATCCCACCACTTAGGTGCCTCTTTCGGGTCCTTTTTGCACTTTGGGTAAAAGGAGAGGGCTCGGTTGGGCCCCCCCACATTGTTCAGGCACTTGCCGAAAGAGTGGGTCGGGAGTAAGCCAAGCAGCTTCTTGGCTAGCTTGTTTCTTTCAGGTAGACACCGTGAAGAGGACCAGTAGACGAGTGTCTCCTTGGAAAAATTAATGATATCGTCAATTTTGATTTCAATATGCAGGTTTAAAAGGCAAAAATGCTGAAATAGTGGGTGAGATGAGATTAATTTGAACTATAGCTGAGGCTTTTGGGTCAATTACAAAGAAAGCCATGTTTTTTCAAGAGTTACAAATTTACAATTGTTAATGGGGTATTTGCAATATAGAATGAATAAGAATTTTACAAATTTATTTACTCCCGCTGTTTCAAAATAATTATCTTCGAGGAATTCAGATCTATTTCCCCATATTCCTCAGAATTTTCCCTTGTTTACTACTCCTTTTCAACTAACTACATTACTATGTGTAGTGATATAACAACTATTACAAATATAAGGCTAAATGAGATGTTTTGTGACGTTTCATAACTCGAGCGAAACATTCTAAAACACCGATTTATTTGGGAATAGAGGGAACCGTAACAAACTGACATATCAAGTGGGAACAAGCAACAGGTACACAACGGAGGTTGTGTAAAAATGACTTACATTGTTCTTAATAGGAGATAAGTGGTAATTGCGGTTGTTGTGAAAGAGGGCCCCGGCATAAGTGGACTGAACATCGTCTTTGGCATGATAGCTGATAAAAATGTCCTCATAGCCTGACCTTTTCCTGCCAGCTTCAAGATCCATATATACACGAAGCGGGTGACCTGCTAGTCTCTGTTAAATGTAAAGATAACATTGAGTTTCATGAACCTTAACTATGATGGTCTCACTACCCACTCGCATGGTGTCAAAACTATATGACCCCCAACCACAAAACATGATTAAAGTTTAATAGGAGGACATGCTAATGCGTAATTCTCCATACAAGTACTCGAGTGAAAAACAAGAAAATTATCAAAATTCAGAAGCCCCGTAACCCACCTCGATATGATCCCTTTATACTAATGAATATACTTATCTAAACACTATATTACTGGGGAACTCTATTGGTGATGGTGCTAGTTATGGCGCAAGTAAATATACTTATCTAAACGCCATATTACAGGATCCTCGATAGTAAACACATGGAGTTCAACCCGAGACAGCACCAAAAATCTTGACCAATCAGTTATATACTGTCAAAGCCTCAGGAGTTGTAAGAAAAGTGTAAAATGTCTCGTTAGTTTTTAGTTACACGATCCTACAGAAAATTGATCAATGATATGCCTGATAAAAATAAGAAACATTTTATTGCTGCACAAACTTCTGGTCGACTATACATTTGCAGGAAAAGCCAAATAACATCACTCAATCGAGAGCATTATTCCTATGCCCACCGCAGATTCATGAATCCGAATAACCATCAAAGGCATGGGCTGGTCACTCCAAATTATAAACCTTTCAACACATACCATTCTATTTTACCAACCGTAACCACACAAACGGGACTCAGATTAAGTGCTATAAGGCTACAAATACATACAACGGATAATCAGCAGTTGCTACAGCAGCCAAATCATGGTATCAAAACCCAGATCACAGAGTATCACTGATTAAGATAAGGAACAATGCTTTACCAAGAATCTATAAAAGGGCAAACCACACAACATTCAGTTGGAGAAAAACTAATCCAGGGCTAAAATTTTCCTAAGAACAAAAATTAAGCTGAAATAAAAGAAATGCTAAAATATATAATCACCTGAAACGGAGGAGTCGTAGTTTCGAACAACAGTGCATCAGGATTATCAGCGATAACTTGAGATTTAGTCCACAAGCAGCTCAGCCCACATCTACAGCTGTACAGATTATCCATGTTGTCCGGAATCCAAGTCCACCCTTTGACCAGAACACTGACGTGCTTCATCTGCAACTCGCCGCACCTGATCTCACCATCGGCATTCTGTAAAGACGCGATCTTTGACCCATTTTTCAGCAAATCCTCGTGTTTTCCTCGGAATTCGGAACATCCCACCTGCGAATCCCAGTTCTTGAAAGCTTGGAACAAGTCTTTGAAGGGGTCTGGGGACGAATTTGACGGGGTTAAGGTAATCGAGTCTTTGGGCGACGGGATTAAGAATTTGGCGGATGGGAACTCAAGAAAGCCTGTGAGGAAGACGACGATCAGTGCAAAGCCGAACATGAGCGTTGTTGTCAAGGCGTTGATGGGCTTCAATTGCATAATGGCCAAGAAGACTTCCCACAAATGTCTTTCGTCTCTCTCGTCTTGTGTTGCTCTCTCGTTTATGTGAAGGAGAGAGACGTTACTGTAATTGACTAATTTCTATAATTTTGTTTTTTATTTATTTTCGTATAATAGAGGGGTTTTATTTTTCAAACATTAGTTTTATATTTGAGATGACACACTGATGCGCCGGTGATCTAGAGCTTCAATCGTATGGAAAAAGGTGGTTAATTTGCAAAAGAGACCAAGAGGATCTTTCAACGTTAGCACTCTGATGCTCAAGTTAGCACAATAAATGAGATAATCTCTTAAACTTCCCTAATTTAAAAGTATTCTCTAATTTAAATTTCTCATTCATTTATCTATCTATTAATTGTCTGAAATTTTAAAGATATCATTTACTTTATTAATTGGGTCAAATTAATTTTAAAAATATATTAATGAGCTTTATAATGAAATTTTTAATCATCTCTTAAAAATACTGAATTTTAAATTATTTTTTTATAATTGAGTTTTTTAATCATCTCTTAGACATATTGAATTTAAATTAATTTTAAATGATAAATGTATCTAAAAACACGAGTGATTGTCTGCATATGTGTTATAAATTTGTTAGATAATCGATTAATAGATATTGTACATTTCTAGGAAAAATCTTTGAAAAACATATCTTATTCTTCTTTACCTTATTTTTTTGCATAAAATTATGTACACGAATTATATTATGTACTGTCATCGAAGGCTAAAAGATTGTACAGATTAATTAAAAATCAAAATGTGAAAGTTGAACAAATACATATGAGGCACAAATATGTAAGGAGCAAATTAAAAAGGAGTTTTTCAATACAAAGCCTAAAAATTAGACAAACTATCAAATCGGGGTTTAAAATATTTTTTTCTCAATTTGAGACCTAAATGTTATAAAACTATCAAATTAAATCCTAGAATTAACAAAACTCATAACACCATTAAATTAAGAGTTAATTTGAAGTTTTAAAACGCCAAATCTGTTACAAAGTAAAAAAAAAAAATTAAGGAAAATACGAGATTGTTGGAGAAATTAAGGAAAGTATGAAGCTCTTGCTCAGTTTTCTTGCTATCGTCTATTTTTTTTTCTGAAAAATTTTGCAAATGTTTACTTATTATTTTATGTGAGGAAACACCAATCTTTTTTTTTAAAAAAAATAAAAAAAAAAAAAACTCTCAATGTAATGGTGTTATGGGTTTTGTTAATTGTAGGACTTAGTTTGATAGTTTCATAACATTTAAGTCCTGAATTGAGAAAAAAATTCTTTCAGGCTCCGATTTGATAGTTTACCTATGTTTCGAGTTTGTATTGAAAAGACTCCAATTTATTACAAAGATTAGCTTTTAAAGTAGAAAAAACCTAATTCAACATATTCAATTCAATTGGAAATAAAGCACACTAAAGCCACTACAATGGGCTTTTTTTTTTCTCCTCGAATATATGGTTTTTGTTGTCACTTGAAATGTTGATTTTTGGTGGATCGAGAATTGTGTTTTCGCGACAACTGTTTTTGAGCTATTTTTCAATATTGGACTAGAGCTTGCTTTTGTCATACACAAACGGCAAACCCACCAACAACAAATGATTACTTAACGGAAAAGGTGAAAGACAAATGTTTTTTTTTATTTTATTAATGGAGGAATATAAGTGGCAAACAATGAAACAACCAAAGCCATAGAAAAGGATACGATTTTATTGTACTCAATCGTAATTTTTCCTTGTAATAACACAGGAGATTAGCTAGGCGGACCAGGTAAAAATCTGCTCGGTTTGTGGACCGAGAGATTGCTTGTGGTTCGGTCTTATGTTAATAGCTCGGCCTTTATGGTGGAAGGGTCGCTACCAGCTCAGATTATCTGCTCATATACGAGTGTAGTTTGGTTACATTAGTGACCCGACTGTACCAACAGTTCAGTTATGTGTGCGGTTTGGGTATAGAAGTAGCTCGACCGAGCAAATAAGATAGTAATTCGGTATTGTATGGGCTCGGCCCAGTAATAGCTCGGCTATGTGCGCGGTTTGGATGTAGAAGTAGCTCGATCGAGCAGATGTTACAATTATTAAATTGGTCCACAAGGGACACGTGTAGTGTCAGGATCATAGAAGTGATACGTAATCTAACGAACGAGGAGTAAAGCGTACGAATGAAGCTAGAAAATTCCATATAAATAGGTAAATGAATGGATGAGGTAAGGATAATCACACTCTACAAACCCTAATATCACTTACAGTTACATACAACTCTTCTCTATTCTTACTGACTTGAGTGTCGGAGATTTAACTCCCGGAACACCTTTCGACGTCTTTACAGGTCTTTGGGTTCAATCGTTGGGGATTGGAGGAGAGCCGATTCGAGGTGCAGGAGAACCACCACCGTGTAAAACGAGTAGGAAGTTACCCTAATGAAGTAGGAACTTCATGTGCATGCTTGTGAGATGCTCAAATTAGACTCCTCATTTTGTGTGGTAAATAATGTAGTGAGGACTATGTAGTTAATCATTATGTATGGTACATTAACTAAAAAATAAAAAATATTCTTTTGTAATAAAAAAAAAAAAAGAAAGAAAAAAATACCATACAAGGACCGTGCAAATGGCTCGGTTGATTTATTGCAGCCAAGGAGAATAGGCTCAAATTTTTTTCCTTTTCCAGTAAATAGGCCCAAATAGTTCGGGTCACTTTGGCCCAAGCCTAATCCATGAGACGTCATGTAAGCCTAACCAATGAGGCGTCAGAGGTTAGGGCAGCGGTATCATAATCAAAAGAGCTGTTAAGATGTGTTATAAGAGCCCAA